GAGAGAGAGAGAGAGAGAGAGAGAGAGAGAGAGAGAGAGAGAGAGAGAGAGAGTCCACCTTTTTTTTTGGGGGGGGGGTTAATTTGCCAAATACTCCCATAAGTTGAGATATATGTTCAAATGTTCCTAAAAGATATGGGCACAATGGAATGACCTTTTGGGCTGACATGTTTGTGTTATGCCCCTGTCAGGCGGGTGTGCAAATTTGCTTGGCCTTTTGCAATTGCACCTACGAAAACTTGGCAACTGCCGGGGCATTTTGCAAAGTTGGGCAGCGTCCGGTAGAGGTACATTGGAAAGATGGGTTCCGGTGTTTCCCAAAATGTTTTTGTCATCGTCCGTAGCTGCGGCAGGTCCACCTGTTGACCCGAAAAATAGAAAATGAAAACAAGACCACAACTTCAAGTTAGGGCCTGGTTGCGCTACTCTTCATAGGCCGAGTTTGGCAAGTAGGCTTCCTTGTTGCACTTACTCGCCAAACTTGGCGAATGAAAAATTTGTCAGACTGCTCGCCACACCATCTACACAATGAAACATTTGTCAGACTGCTCGCCACAATGTCTACACAAGTTGTGCCGAGTGTTTTCGGTTTGCCCAGCTGTGCACGGCGGTTTGTGGAGGGTGGACCTCGGACCTCTCCACAAAACAACTTTCTGGAGAGTGCATGCAAAAAAAATTACCTTTTCTGGAGAAGAAATATTGTGGCGAGTAAGCGCAACCAGGAGCAAGATCCCACTAGCCATGTATGTGGATTAGTGTGACGGGTGTGGGACGAGTGGGGGACAGGTGGGTGGCAGCGTGAAATAGGGAAAATAAACGCAAAAAACCATTTCATGACCAACCAAATGAAAAAAAACTGCTTAAAAAAAAAAGAAAGTGCTCTTCTCACAGATGTTGTCTGCTCCAGGAGGGGTGTCAGATGTCAGGGTATGATTCACTGACCATGGCTGTGGCAGTCAAGACAACTGCATGTGAGCCGGCACATGGACCATACTCATTGACAATAGTCTGAGGCTTCCTTGAAATAGGCCGCAGTGCAGGCTCTTCGGTTATTCTGACAGAAATTCTCTTTAGCTTGATACACCATTTGCTGTAGGTGAACGAATCGAACCCTCCCAAAGATTCCCAAACCACAATGGATTTCCAGTGATGAAGCCATTCATCTTTGCCTTCGCCTTGAGTGAAACTTGCCTGGCCATTGCTCGGCGCTAGCACCGCCGATTTCCCCCATCGGAAATGCCTGCCCACCCCTCTTCACCGTGATGAGGGACTGGTACAGCCTTGCTCTCCCACCACAGCTGTGGTGCAAACCTACCCCGTGGGCTGGGGAGAGATCATGGTTGGTTGGTGTTCCCCCGTACTAGAAATAGACTAGTGAGAGGATGAGATAGATGTGTACTACCAAGAAAGATGAAATAGATTGAGAGAAGAATATAGATTACTTTTTCTTAAAAAAAAAAAAAAAAAAACTTGCCTGATTTCACCAACCAAAAAACTTGGTTGCCTTTAAAAAAAAAAAAAAAAAAAAAAAAAAAAACTTGGTTGTGATTTCACGCACCTTTGGGACAGCCACAGGACCCCAAAAACAAAAACAAAAGAAAAACCTACCAATGGGAGAGCAAAAGAAAACATCCTTTTCCTGGGCCTTAATTCACAAAAACATGCAACTGCTGATTTCCTGCCAAATCCACGATGCCTGACAGTTGCACACCTTCAACACTAATCCACATACATCGGTAGAGGGATCTCGCCCCTGGGGTCTGGTCCCACCTACGGTTGTTGAGTTCAGAAAACTCAACGGTGTGACGCCATTTCGAGATTAAAATATTCGAAACAAGAAATAAAAAAACTGAAAAAAATGCTAGAAACAGGTTTTCTCCTTATTTTTTATACGCTACTCCGAGAAATGAAACATGTCTGGGACAGTCGGAGTGAACGTCTCCGTGAAAAAAGGATACTCCCCGTGGTGAGGGGACAGGAGGTCACCATTTGTAAAATGGACAGGGACGACGTGAATGGCCAAATGCATTCATTGCCCAAAGAAGGAAACGAGTTTGATGCCAGACAGCCAAACACAGCTGTCAGAGTTCCTCCGTTTCAGGATGCAATGAGGACTAAAAAAAACAAAAAAAAGGAAAGGCACTGAAGTTGAGAAGTGTACCCTAAAAAAAGAAAAAAAAAAAAAGAAAAAAGAAAAAGAGAAATGTACCCTACCCTCGGTAGGGTAGTTTTTTCTCAACGGACAATGGCTTCCCGCCCAAACCAAAAGGGCCAACGCATACTACAAAAAGGATTTCACGTCAAAAAAAAATTCTACAAAATGACTAAATCTAATAGGTTATTCTCCTGTATTTTGGTACCGTTAGATTCGCAATACATCAACGGCAGAGCTCCGTCCCACCATGCCACACGTGATAGAAAGCTCAGCGTTGAGAAAACTCAACGCTGTAGGTGGGACTAGACCCCAGGCCTCCAGTTGGACACGATTCTCATTTTTTTCACTCTCCACCACTCCACCACGAATTGTGGCGGATAGCGAGTAGTGCAACGAGGCCCTTACATACCCCTATGTGGCTGAATGGTACACACATGTAGCTGCGAAGATTGGAACAATACAATACAGATAGCATTTACACCTGCCCAAGGCCAAAAAATAAGAACGCAAAACAACGGTGATAAATTCAGCACCTGTGAGGCTTTAGCTCATTGGTTGTACCCGCGGGCTTTTGGAATACAGACCCAAGTTCGATTCCAGTTCGAATCAGATGAACAGAGCAAAATAATTCCGAATTACCTGGGCCAGACAGTCCGAAGATGATAATAAATTCACGTGGTCCATTCCCAACACCAAAACCTGACGGATAAAGTAAGATTAGGGACTACCTTCCCCGCCGGAAAAAAACAAGAAAAAGATAAAAAAAGGAGTCCCTCCCCTCCCCTCCCCTCCCCTCGCCAACTTTTTTCAGAACGACAAGAAATCACCGGAGAAAGAACTAGCTTACGGAGTAGCGATGGGCACGCGACGTGTGGATGAGTCAAGTAATAAATACAATTAAAAAAAAATGGAAAAAATACCTAGCATCATGAACCGGATTGAAAATAACCGGTCCGGTAGGCGACCGTCGTCATTACCCTGCACCGGAAGGTGATGGGATTGTATCGAACGGTCGCCATAGCCGGCACCTCTGTGGCAGCAAGGAGAGTGAAGAGGAGGGGTAGCTCTTATCTGTGACTATGGCTGCGATCGCTGTATGTGGCTGTGCTACAACAGCCTCCGGTACTGGTAGGGTACTTGCAGAGCTTGCGGGCGAACGGGCCAGACCGGCGGGCAAGGGAGATGTCCTTGTCGCCGAAAAGCGTTCGGCCGCGTTCATTTGTACCACGACGTCATCTCGCAGGTCGCAGTACAGATATGGCCATCGTGCTGCTCGGGGATCCACGTGTCGATCTCTCACGACGCCAGACGTGAGATGGACAAAGAGCGATTTGCAAAGTTGGAGCCGCTCCTCCGTCTTTGGAAACGATGTGGCGGCAGTCTCACAGCGTAGCCCGCGCAATCACCACAATCGCCGTCTAAAAGACACGTGGAGAACTAGGGTAATAGCGGTTGCGAGATTTCCCTTCACGTTTACGCTCGGCTCCTCTCAAGAAACTCGCAAAAAACTTAAGGAGGAGCTTCTTGATGCCATCGCGCCACTAGACAGAGGCGCAGCTGCTTCCGACGAAGACAAAGCTCGCATAGAAAAGGTGATCATCTTTGGATCTTCCTCCTCCTCCTCCTCCTCCTCCTCCTCCTCCTCCCCCTCCTCCTCCTCTGCTCTCCTCCATGTTCCTCCTCTTCGTCTTTTCTTTTCTTTTTTTTCCCCCTTTTCTTCTTCCTCCTCGTTGTCGTCGTCGCGAGGATAGAAAGGTGATCGTGAGTTCTACTTCCTCCTCCTCCTCCTCCTCCTCCACCTCCTCCCCCTCCTCCTCCTCCTCCACGGAGTCCTCCCCCCCTCCTCCTTTCTCGCGACGTTGCATTATACGACTGGCTGGTCCGTTTTGTGAATTTACTACAATGTATTATTATTTTTTAAGCAAAGGGGGAAAGAGAACCTTCGTTCGGAATTGAGGCGTGTTGCGACCCAGTAGGTTGATTCCTTCTATGGCTCGGGAAAACGAACTCTTCTGTTGTTGTTTTTTTGGTTTGCTCCTTCGAAGAATAAATAATACAGTTCGATCGTGTTTGGTGTGAGTTGTGATTTGTCTGGAGTCGCTCTCCTGGGCGGAGGTCCCACTACCAAAGAGGATTGGATTGAGCGCCTGAATCTGGGTGGGTTTTAAGAAGAGATCGCAGAAAAGCAGATCGATCGCGATTTTCTGCACCTCTCAAACAAACACGTCCACATTCAGGCTTTAAATCCAATCCTCTCGGTAGTAGGACCTCGGCCCTGTTCACTTGCTACGTAGTGGGACCTCGGCCCTGTTCGCTTGTTAGTGGGACCTCGGCCCTGTTTGCTTGCTAGTGGGACCTCGGCCCTGTGTGCTAGTGGGACCTCGGCCCTGTTGCTGTCCATGTACGCATGTGGGACTGGGACCTCGGCGCTGTTGCTGTCCATGTACGCATGTGGGACTGGGACCTTGGCCCTGTTGC